AGTCGACTTTTCAACCTGCTTCTCGTTTTGTCCTGAGGTGACCATAGGCATAGTTGATTTATTTTATTGGAACCCTGGATGTCCAAGACTTCCTTTTTTCCCCTGGTGATTTCAGGCTGCCCAGTTCAGGGTTAACTGGTCCTCAGTTGAAAATGTTACTTTTTTAAGGTTCTTTTTCCTCTCCTAACTTGTGCTAATAATGTTGGAGCAATGTTGAAAGTCAGGCTAATATTTTAATTAACCTCATTCTCATCTTCCATTGTCTTCAACGTGTCTTTTAAGTAGTAATTTTGTGAGAACTTCGACACTAAAAGCACTCTTACTGCAGTGTTAAAATGAGAAATGTTGAACATATTGTGAAGTTAACCTTTAATATCGGTTTTACAGGTAAGTAAATACTTAATTTTTTTAACAAATCAACATAGAATTTTAGCAGTAGAAGGATTTTGAAAGAATTGACCAATTAAAGTTTTGAAGAAAGAACTACATAGATTTTCTAAACTGGTCTCATCAAATATTGTTAACTCAAAGCATTTTTCTCAAAACAATTTTTTTTTTCTCGTAGTTTTACAACTTTCTATTTATAATGTTATGACTATATTCTCATAATATTATGACTTTATTTCTGTAATAAGAGAAGGTTTTGTAATAAAATAAAAAAAAGGTTTAATCTTGCCCCAATCTTATAAACTAAACATTTTATTCTGAAAAGGTTTAGAATTTTTGCATGAACATTTTTTTAAAACATTAGCATCTCTCATCAAAAACGTGAAGCCATAATTAATTTACTGTTGCTGGATCAGACTAAACAAGATTAAGTTGCCAGTGAATCTGCACTGAACCTCCTTTGCATCATCAAGCAATCAGGAAGCAGAGGCTAATTTCACAAAAAGGCTTAATGGCTGCTGGGGTGTGTATATTTATGTGTGTGTGTGTGTGTGTGTTGGTCTGGTGTTTGTTCCTGCACTCCTAGACAGGGCAGCAAGTGGGATAATGGCGAAGAAATGTGTCTGCATGGTGGTACAAACAGAGGTCGTGTGTGGCTGGATCGCACGTAGGCACACAACGCTGCAACCTGCCATTCACACCCCTTATCTACATGCCGTTGAGCACAATGTTATGATTTGAGTGCACTCACCGCTGAGGCTTCGGTGAGTGAGTGTTTGTGTACATTTAATGTCTGCATGCTAATCATCATCCTTCATCAGGGCACTTTGGCTGTGAGGAGTGACGGAGTGGGTTGTAAGCTTGGAGACTTTTTTTTTTTTTTTTTTTTTCCGGGCCAGGAAATGGCAAGAAGGTTTGGGATTTGGGACGTGACAGCTGACAGCTGCAATATGAGCTCAGGGAAATCCCTGCATAGAGATGACGTTTTTGTTTTGCGGTATCTTATCAGCAAAGCTTGTCTTTGTTGGCAGTTGACTTCAGTTGGAATTCACGTGTAAAAAAAATGAATTATTGCTGGTGTCATCTAGGTTGCTCACCTTGGGTCAAATACAATCATCTTCAAGATATTCCAACATTTGAAAAAGTTACACTTTCTAAATTGAGATTTTCATTCATACAATCCATATGGTTGAAAGATTCTTAAATGAGATACCAGAAAAAGTGTCAAGAGGTTTCTCAGATTTTGTAAAACAAATTAATGCAATCGTGCCCTTTCTCCACCTGTTTCTATCAGTTAGCCTGCTGCCGTTGCTGTCGGCAACCGGCAGTCGCTAACTAACAAGAGCAGTAAGTATTGTGAAACACCATGAGAAAGATCTCATACTGTTTCATGCTAGTCAAGTTCAATTTATTGGTCTTCCCTATTAAAAGATGTCTGCCACTAAAACAATGAAAAAAAAATCAACATTTTCTCAAATTTGACCATTTTGCCATCATTTTATTAATAAGATCTAATAAATAAAATCACAATTGTTCTTACTTTTCTTTGTCCTTGTTTGACCAAGAAAACAGTTTGGTGCCAGGTGTTGCTATTATAAGAAAAGCAGCTGCTTTGTTTTTTATGGAAGTTGAGGATTTAAGTAGAACACATTTGATGAATGATCATAAACTCAGAGACCTAAAGAGCCTCTACTCTCTTCTCACTTGCTGCAATAAAAGTTGTATTCTACTAAATGCAGCTTTTTTTCTTTTGCTTCTTTTTTGGTTTAAACTGTCTTCAGATAGCAGGGGTGATTACCTATTTATATTAATTTGTCTTGTAAGTTTTGCTACTGGTAAAGAATTACTTCAAATAGATTCAGAGCAGCGTCTCTGAAGAATAGCCAGATTGGAGCAACAGCGCACCCTACAGGTAAAAAGCGTGAGCAAAGGAGATGGGAAAGTAGGTCAGGAGGGATGGATGTGAAGGGCGTTTTACTGGTGGGTGGAGGTGAAAGATGATGGATGCAAAGAAGATGGTGGGAACAAGGGAAAGGGGAGGAATACAGAAGAACTTTAGATTTCCTGTATTGAAAAACTCTCCCCTAACACTGTTTCTACCATCTGGGAAGAAGAAATGCAGTCTGCCTCAAGTAATGACTTTCATCTCCTTCTTTGTCTGAATTGTGTTTGTTTATATGCCAGAGAGTGAGGTCTGCTTTACCTTGATAAGGACGTTGGCACACGAAGCACTCTGCCTGAATCTGACAATGATATGAAATGTCACTGCAGACATCAAGCTAATAGCTTAATTATTGTTTGTGGACTATTCTTTCACACTATGCTCACAGAACCTGCTTAAAAGTCCCATTTTAAATGGTCATGTTCATAAAATAGTTGTGAAATGTTCAAATTATTCAGTTTTGCAGTTATTTGTTGGAAATTTAACTATTTGGAAATGAAACTGGACTGGATAGAGTTTTTAGTTGGAGTAGTATACACTGCAGGCACTTTCAGTACACTGACACCTCATCCTTTTACTTTTTTTACTGAATTTTTCTGGCTTTGACTATTTGTTAAAATCACACAAAAGTAATTAGGGTCTGTAACTAAATGATCACATTACAATATTTTAATTTAAACCTTGATTAAAGTGTGTAAAAGTGTATATGTCAGAGTTGACACCTATTAAACACAGCACATAATACAGGAAAGACAAGAGAAAGTTAGATTCTTAATACTCGCGAGGAGAACAGACAGAGATGTGCTTTCAGTTACAAATCTCCTACTGCTCTGAAGCACATTTGCCTGCCCCTCTCTTTAGGATCCCTAATCACAGAGAGCGCTGTAACTCTAAAGGGAGGGGGAAAGACACTTCATCACACAGTCACAGCGCCAGATTATCACTAACTAACAACACAATCTATCTCGCACTAGCTTATCCAGTTCCTGACCCAGGATCAAGCAGGACAAGTTGTACATCTTCACGGCGATGGTTTTATAACTATCTAAGAGGTTAAAGCAGGGCGTTCTGAGAAGAGCTGCTGTCACTGCTCTTCTTCAGAGAGGCCTCCTCTGAGGAAGGAAGCAGAGTGATTAACAATACAGAAACATTCCTTAAAACATATGACTAAACTAAATAAGTAAGAATACATAAACTAAGAACATAATGAAGATATAACAAATAGTTGATAATAATACAATTTACCTAACAGTATACAAATTAGGGTATTTGAGGTTGAATAAAGCACTTCTTTTACATTGTCAGCAGATAGCGCTAATCACTTGTGATTAAATCGGTTAAAGGAATTTTAACTCATTTCTTCACACTTAACCAGTAATTGTGAATGCTTTACTTTAATATGACAGTTATAGTTCATCATATTTTTGTATTTTACTTTGTGTACAAATGTCTGCAAATTGGATCTTAAGAGTTTTAGTAAATACTAATTCTCAAATGTGCATCTCAGAAACATTAGTTTGTTTTAATTATGCAGGGCTAATATATTTTAAAAAGTTTTTGACATCCTATAAGTATTAATTTCTCTACAAACCACTGTTTGTACACTGATTTCTAATCTAAGTTTTGTTTCTTTGTAAAGACATTTAATTGCACTTGACAAAAATAATTCTGCTTTACTTAGGAAAATATAATACAATGTTACAACACACTGCCGTTTAACTGCAATTCTTAGTCCATTCGGTTGAAATAACTTCATTGAGACGATTCTTGTAGTTACTCGTACATTCGTAGAAATTACTTGCTACCTTCCTTCACCGGTAGGATGCTAACGGGGATTCTTGCATGTATCCCTCTGCATCTGTGTGAAATCATGATCTGGGCTTTAATTCTACCCAAAACATTTTCATTTTTATTTCTAAGCCAATGCGTGGTGGGTTTCATTGGTATGTTTTGTGTGATTATCTAGTTAACTTTTTCTATCTCATCATATTGCTTACTCTCACATAAAATGCCAGGACTACACTCAACTAAATATCTTGGGTTTAAAGGGCAAACCTCTGCAAAATGCTGAGTAAAGATGTAATCATGGAGACCTGATGTGATATGCCTTGTAATGTTGTATGATAAACATGGAGGAGTCCCAATTTATTCCTTTCTGAAAACTGCATTCTTATTTAGATTTTTACAAAAGTTCAAAAAATAATTTTTATTGGTTTGTTTGTTCACATTGACTGATTGTAAGTGGTCTGGTAAATGTATCCAAGATTACGTTAAATACTGATACCAGATATCTAGACTTAGTAATCCATAACCTGTTCAACAACATTGCCAAGACCAACCCACTTCTACTTCTATTCTATTTAAATAAGTGGAGGTAAAGTAAACTATGAAACAGAAGAAACAAGCAAGTATACTCAGTATTGTAAAAAAGGAGCAAAGCTATTCATAGTTGGTGCATCAAAAGAACGACCTTCAGTGGATGACAAGTTCGGACTCCTAGCCTGCTGTCCCACATTGCTATTCTCCACAGGTTATGTGAAAGTCCTTCGCAGTGGACAATCAGTTGTTGTATGCAGGTGCTGCTGAGAGCTGCCGCATACAGGTTTGTCTTCTTCGGTTCGTCTTTGTCTTTTATCAATACTTATCCTGTTTTTCTTCTTATGATTTTCAGTGAAATAGTTCTTCGCCTGTTCTTGTCCCGTGGAGAGAGCAGAGCATCTACAGAGGAAGCAGTAAATGGCTGATCAGCTGGTTACCGGTTGGCTTCGTATCGTTGCAGGTACAGTAAGTTAAGCAGCAGTGCTGTGTCTCCTTAGCATGAAGCAAATGGATTGCTAATATATGGCTTCAAGTTAATCTGCAGTTCATATTGTCAGGTCATTAAGTATATGAGGCCTGTAATGGGACCGACTTTTAGCTTTGTCTTTTTAGCTAAAAATTTTATATTTTTGTGCATGAGGAAATATAACATGATTTGTAGTGTAAAAGAAAATGGTGTGATTTGAAATGACTTGAAATTGTTTGGTTTGAAATTTGGCCTTTTACTCAATAATGTAGCATTCTTCAATTCATCATATTGTTCTTTATTGATAACATATGTACTGTATTCCTTCTACTCAAAATATTCTGAATTTTTCAGATCAATTCAAGAGAGTAATTTCTTAAATTAAGTCTGTCTTTCCTTCAATGTATTCAGCCGAGATTTTTCCAGTTGAATACTGTTGTATAAATGTCATTCTTTGGTAGGGGAAATTAGAGACATTAATTTGTGCTTTAATTACAGTTTTCCTCTTCCTGTGCAGTCTTTATTAATTATGTTGAAAGACCCACATCACTAGACATGCTGACTACACCAAGATGGCATTAACAGAAAGAGTCTTTATTGAACAACTTTATTTATAGCCTTAGTGCCAGAAGAAAAATATACACTCGATTTTGTACTGAAAAAATTGGCCACTAAATGACAAAAAAAGTACTATAATGGTCATACCATGGCTGATCCAAACCAGCTTTTTTTTTTTTAAATGAAATTATATGTTTATGTTTTCATAAGAATATCTGACACAAAGAATAAAATGAAAAAAAAAGTTTCTAAACAATGAAAACAATTAAAACTCCATATTCTTCTAATATCACTTATGTTTACATCCACTGCATAAAACGTAACAAAATCTTTTTTTTCTCTATTCCTTATTAGACATTAAATCAAAACTTTTCCTGTTTGAAGTTGGTTAGGATTAGCAGATCTTGTATTGTTCCATTGGATTAAGAGTAGGGGTTTCTGATGGTCACCCTAAAACATTGAATTTGTTGTCCCTTAAGCCACTTTTGTGGTTAAATCTTTAAAGGGAAGGACTATGTAATGTCAACTTTTTTGAGCTCTATGTTATGTCATTATGTTATTCCATCATCAAAAACACATCTGGAGTGTTTGATTGATTCTTTCATGCATGTTTGAGTCCCCAGCTGAGCTTCTGGCTCTTACCCTCCCATGTGTCTTCCCCACACAGCTCCTCCATACTAGCAGCAATTAGCAAACACCCATAGGACATGTCTCCAAAACTAAGGACTATCTCGCTGAGTATATTTGCAAACTATAATATACATTTTTAGCCAAGTAAAAATTCATATTATAGTTAGGAACATTTGGCTTCTTCTTCTCTGAGGAGCATTTGCACTAGTAAATTTTGTACCGAAGGATCACATATGTATAATAAAGTCATGTTATATTTAAAGGGGCACAAAGAATGTAAAAAAATATAGTAATGTCCAAAAAACCCCATATTATTATATGCTGGTATTCTGTGGCATGTTACCACAGAATACCAGCAGATGGCAGGATTTGTTGAGTTTTTTTGTTGTTGTTTTTTTTGCTGCAAACCACTTAAAATTAGCTTAGCTCTGAAGAGTTGCATTTATTATAGGATGTGCATGGACATATCTCTTTTTTATTACTGTTTCTGGTTGGTCTGTGAAATGTTGAATTGGAGGCTTGGTTTGCCCATTTTATAAAACCCTTTTACCCACTTTTCACCTTTATGTCACCCATATATATGGGTGACATAACAATGGCTTCTTTTGGCAGAAGCCATTGTTATCTTTGCGATGCCTTGTTTTTTTGTAAACCTTTGCAGCAAAGGATATGCATATCCTGGTATGGTAAAAGCCATGGTTGCACAGTATTAGCTAAATAGTGCCAGTCTACTTATTCTCCAGAACGCACATTAAATATACGCCCCCCTCACCCACAACTAAAGACATTAAGAAAAATTAAGAATTCAATTCTAGTTCTGTCACATGTATTATCATTAAATTAAAGTCAGTGTTAGCTTCAACATTAAGTCAATTAAATTATATTTTAGACAGATGCACACGGTGGTGGCAGAACAAACTAAACAGTTTTATAATCTAGAATAACCAGTTAGTTTTTTTGTCTCGACATAAGTGGTTTGCATTCAGCCAAGTTGTGCAAACACAACATAAGTTTTCAGTGTTGCAAAATATATCTTTGTTCACACAGAGACCATAACTGAAAAAAACAGAAAATGTTTTGGAAAATGTAAAGGAAGTGATAAAAATGTTGCCACTTATTTAAATTCCCTTAACTAACATTATTATTCACGTGTTTTTTTTTTCATGTTGATAAACTTTTATGCTACTTCTTGTAATTTACTTGTAATGTTTGAATTTAAAGCTAGTACATTTATTACTAGTATGTTTAAAGGAAAAATCTCACATTCAGAACAAAATATCTAATGGTTTTTATGAAAAGTAGATGTCATAAAAAATTATTGTAAACGTACTACAAACACTGCTGTCACCACTACATTTTGTGCATGTCTGTGTGTACCCATTCACGTGCCTCATTTTACCCTGTCATAGGCAGTTAATGAGTACTTACACAAACACGAGCACACACCCCTTTCCGGGGGCTGGGCTGCTGTCAGTCCTTTGTGCTTGTTGGTTGCAGCTGTAGCCTGCGTTGCCTTGACGTCACACAGATCGATCCTGCTCCCAGTGCGGCTTGGTGAGCACGGTGACAGTAAAAAAGGCTGCAGAGTGAAGCAGACTGTCAGAGCGGGGCGGGGAGTGTATCGAAGTGGGGAGGAGGAGAGAGAGGGCAGAGTGAAACCACAGAGGTATTCCATGCAGGGCAGGACAGGCACAATCTGCTACTACAGAAATAGTCACTACACAGGACAGTGTAGGGTAAATATTTTTTCCGCAGTAATGAGTGCACGACTGTTCTCAAAATGGGTAGTCACTTTCATGTTATCCTGTGTGTGACTAAATAATGCCATTCTCTGCATGGTTTGACTCACTGCACTGACATAAGGTTGGATGGTGAGGAGGGGTGCTTGTGTGTTTGTTTACCACATTTGCTTATTGTTGGGTTTAATTGTACGACCATCTTGGCTTTTCAGTTCTCCTCTGTGCCTTTGTGTGAGTACGCAGTGTATGCCGATAGTTATTTGTCGGGGAACTGAGTTGGTAATGCAGCGTCCCTTTTGAGCTGTGGTGTCAGGAGATTCTAGCTGTAAGCCATGTGACTTTGCAGAGAGCTGCAGAGATTGGCTGAGGTCATCTGTGACCTCAGCATACTGCCTGTGTCCCTCCTCAACTCTGCCGCCCCTCGTTACAAGCACACACGCACACACAAAATCCTCCCTCCCTCCCTCCCAGTCTGTTCTCCGCCTCCCCTCCCTGCCTCTTTTTCCTTCAGTTGGCTTTTTCCCCACCGCTCAGCATCCTCTTCTGCATGTAGGCTGGAGCCACAGCAGCAGCAGTAGCAGTAGAAGCATCCATGGCTTAATGGACAGCTAGCCTAGCCCCTACCCCTCCTCTCTCCTCTCTTTTTCTTCCTCTCTTCCTTTCGAGCTAGTTGACAGGCAGCGTCTGGGATTGTTGGAGGCTCACAGTTAGCCAGGGCGTCATCCACAAGCTTGCAGCTGCTCTGCTGCCCATCAGTTCCACTGAATATCTGTAACCGGGGGTTTCTTCTCCTCTCCCCCTCCCCGTGCCTCCTGCTTTCATTTCAGGCTCTTTGGAAATAGAGGAATGCAAATCTGCAACCATGATGGAAGGTAAGCTGTTTTTATTCTAATTTTTTATTATGCTGTTGACTCCCCATCCCACCCCCACCACCCTTTCATATATCTCTCTCTATATATATATTTATATATATATATATATATATATATATATATATATATATATAGTAATCCTTCCTCATGCCCTTGTGCTACTGTGCTTCATCTGCTATATTTGGGAGGTTCAAATGTCATCAGCCACTCTTTTTTTAAGTGCACATTTCAGTGACTTGCATGTTATTCTTAGAAAAGGGCACAGCCACTGAATGTTCACGATAGAGGCACAATGGCGAGGCTAATTGAAGCTTGTACCTTAGCGAGTGTGTATGCATATGTTGGAGTACCCCCCTACTCCTTTTTGCCACTTCCCATCATGGAGGATTATTTGGATTTGTTGTTCTGGACAGCTTATGTGCCCAGCTGGCTTACTTGTATAAATTCTCTTTGTATGATGTGCTCACCCTGTCTCTGCTATGTGTTCATACCACTGACATATTTAACCCGGTGTTCTTATGAGAATGTTGCATCTATATCAGGATATACATGAATCTTAAGGTATAATTTGCCCTTCGCCTTTTCCATTGTTATAAGTAGGGATTTGAATGTAGTTTTAGGATCATATCTCTTTAATTGATGACATCACCAGAGGTAGGCCAGTGATATTAGGATGAATCCCTACGGTTCTGCAGCTGGCAAATGAAGCCCTCCATCCGTCTGTTTTCTCTACCCTTTTTTGTTAATAAATTTGAGAATCAGTGATCAATTTCTGTTAATATCCCCAGAACAAAATTCAGGTGTAAGTATTATTTTATTATATAAGCAACCTTAAAATATGTAACATTTAATGGAAAACATTTTTGCACAGAAAAATGCATAAAAGTGTTAATCAAACAGTTTGTAAAAGGGGACAACGTCACTAGTGTTCACCATCTGTTTCAATGTTTCAAGCAACTGTAGATTCTTAATTCAAGTTGATTTAGTAATATTAATGAACCCAGAGCTATACTCTGCCAGTTAGATGGATTTTATTAGCATACAGTCTGGAAGCGTGCATCTGTGTCTGTATATTTATAAATTAGAGGATGCAACTGGTTCCTCCTCCTGTATTGTCTTGAAAGAAATCCTGGGAGAGTTTCAGAATGAGTGTTAGGGCAGAGTAGATTTTCTAAAGTATTCTTAACGTTGGGGTTCAATTTTCATAAATTTACTTTTTGAGGTTATTTTTAATATTTCAAGTTGACACTGACAGAAACAAACTGTCCAAGAGGACCTAGCTTTAAATGTACAAAACTCTTATTATATCAATGTTATTTGAATATTATTCTGGTTGTATCGCTTATCTGTTTGATTGACACTTCCTGACAGATTAACATAGTTCTTTTTAAGCGTTTGGTCAAAGTATATTTTCATGCTGCTAAAAAAGGGTAAAGTTAGCCTTGCACCACTGAGCAAAATTACTGCAGTTGTTAAGAACATATTTTTGTTTGTTACACATAATTATATAACTATGAGATACTCAGGTGATGTTCTGATTTCTCACAACTAGACATCTACACATATATTTAGCCATGTTTATTTGGAAGTGCATGAAATGTTGGCCAAGTGGTATGTTTATTCACATATCTTTACCGCACATCAACAAACAAAAAGATGCGGTATATAAGTTAGTATATGCCACTTATATACCAAGTGACATATATATTAACATATCTTTACCGCTTGTAAATAACCATTATTGCTATAGTATAGTCTCAAACTGTAAAGTTATAAAAATCCAACCTGATAAAAACAAATATTTTTAATAAACTCAACAGAGGCACATTTTTTGGTCTCTTCAAGCATACAGTAAAATTTTACATTAAGAGTTTCTACAGCTTTTAAGTAATCCATGACTTTAGCCCTCCCATGGTCTTAGCACTCCTGCTGTCAGGAGGAGCGTGACAGCAGGGGAGTGAGGGGTGTTTCCCGACAACCTGTAAGTTTCTGAAACCACGTAAAAAAAAAAAAAAAACCTCGTAAAAGCGCATGCGGGGTCAGTGAGACCCTGCTGGGACACGCACAGGGTGAAAAGCTATCCAATGGACCTCCCCCAGTCTCTTAAGACTGGGGGAGGGTTAAGGATATACCTGAAGGAAATGCACTGCTTGTTTCTATTAGCAAATAACCATAATGTTGGAAGAGGATCCAAGTTTAACTGTCCATAAAGTGTCCAACGACTGGGGGAAGCTGTTTTTAACAATAAGCTTTATCAAAGGGTAACATTTTAAGCCTAGACTTAAAAGTAGACAGGGCGTCTGCCTCATGGATTAAAACTTGGGAGCTGGTTCCACTAGAGAAGAGCCAGAGAACAAAAAGATCTGCTTCCCAATGTCTACTTTTAGGAATCCTAGGAACCACAGCTACACCTGCAATCTGAGAGTAAAGTGCTCTGTTGGGATCGTATGGAACAATCAGATCTCTGATGTGTGATGGAGCTTGAGTGTTAAGGTCTTTATATAAGTAGACTCTTAAAATCTACTTACAAATTATGTTTACAATGGTAGGAGTTATAATTGTGCCACTTCATGACAAACAGTTATTTCTTAATATCAAATTTTTCCACATTAAATTCACAATAAGTTGAATGTAATAATACTGCAATTAAAAAATATTTTTTTTTAGGTAGTGGTCATTTGCATTTTTTCAGTGGCATTAATACATTTGGTCAGTGCTGCATGAGAGAGTCTTGATAAATGTGCGATCAGAGGTTCAGTGGCAGCACAATAGAGAGTAGTTAAGGTTTGAACTTGTTAGTCATGTACTATTTCCTCCTGATGACAGTTGTGTTTTAAAGGTTAAAATTGGATCTTGCTGTATTAGAAATGTTTCTATTACCAAATACAGAAATATTTGAAATGTTGAACACTATTTTTAATGAAAATAAAGATGATAATTAAGGACATATTTCAAATACAGATCTTTCCAATTTGATCACCAAAGTGCTGAATGACCTTATTTAATGTTTCTTCTCCTCCGACAAGTGAGCTGTCCTCTCTCTGTCTGCATTACGTCAAGCCCTGGGTTAAGTAACAAATGTGAAGGTAAAAAGCACTGTTTGCATTTGCTTTCCTTCCATTAGCAAAGCTAGTACAAGCTTAACATAGAGTGTGTTAGGGCAGGATTACGTTCAGGTGTTAAAATTGGATGCTAATCCTGGCTAGCTCTGCTTTTTAAAGCCCAGCGCCACTGCCAGCATGACTGTCTCTTCCTGACACACGAGGGTAGAAGATGTGGGAGGGTTACTTAATTGTAATTAAGAGCAGTAGAGGTGATCATCCTCATGCTAGTAGTTGGGATTACCATCTCTTTTCCTAAAGACGTGATCTTGAGAATTGCAAGATAGATATGGGGCATTTTTATCACAATAACAAGATAATGCAGCAGTGTTATCTCTACAAATTATTTCTATCTGGATGGGGTTTAATGATTAGCTAAATCTGATGGAATCTTGACATTTCACTGTTTTAATGTTTGCACACTGTCAGATGAAGCAATACTGAAAACTGAGGCATAATGCTATAAGTAGTGTCAATTTAACTGCGTATTTTTCTAATGTGTGGAGAATTTGATAGAAATTAGCAACCTGAGTTTCCTGTACACAAGTGCTACTCCCTCTCTTCTGCTGCTTGAAGGGGGAGTTGGTTTAACTATTTCATCTTAAAGTTAGCTATTACTTAGGAAGGGTATTTCCTGCTGTCCCTTGAAATAATTTATTTTATTTTCATAGAAGTGCATCACAGTAAATCGGAATAATAGTTCAAAGTTGTGTATTTGAATGATTTAAATCAAAAAGTAAAATGCATATAAATTCAGTTTGTGGATTTCCAGGACTTTGTGTTTATTTCTGTTAGCTGAAAACTAATTATTACCCATAACTGAATTTCTTAGAAAATTAGATAAATGAATAACACCAAAGAAAAACAGATAGTACAGAAATGTCCGCCAAATAAAAAGAAAGCCTATGTACTATGTATGACATGCACTTAGTGCTTAGTCCAGGCTTCTTTAGCATAATTTACTGCATCAGTGCAGCATTGAGGTGATCTAAGGTAGCACATCTGAGATGTTAAGAAAGCACAGATTGCTTTTATAGTAGTGTCCTGTTGCCTAAAGTAATAAGTAACAGTAGTCTACATTGACAAAATTCCTTTAAAATTTGCTGCAGCTGCACCTTTCCCTGAAGCTTGTAGTGACATAACATACGATACATTATAACATTTATTAGGGACAAAATCACTGGATACATACATATTTTTTTGCTGAAGAATATATAACCATGGATTACTTTTTACCCTATCTCTGAGTGAGACCTCAGTCAACACTGCTCTCATGGGTGGAGTTACCACTCACTAGGACATCACAGTGGAACTGCTAACAAACAAAAGCCCAGGCAAAAGAGGGCTCAGGAGAAAGTAAAAGACCTTTTCTGTGGATCATAGTCAAAACATGCCTTTTGGGGTTTACCTCAGGCCAGTTTGCTCATCAATCATGCACAGTGATATTGCAGTCAATGAGTTGGGCATTAAGCTAGTGGCTGTGTTGGCGGGTTCCAAGTCATGTTGCAAAATAAAATCAGCATCTCCACGTGGCTTGTCATCAGAGGGAAAAAAAGAGAAATGATCTAAAGTGACCTTGTAAACAGCAGCGGTGACTTTGAAAACACATTGGACCAAAACCAGAAGATGACATGCCTCCCTAAAACATGACATATTATGGAAACATTACTGTAAATGTTGAACAACTCGAATTCTGTGCCACTTTTTTCTGGGCGACAAAACAATAACTATATCTATTGCGATAGACACGTCATCAATATAGATAGAAAATACATCCGATAGAGTTTTAATAATTTCACTAAACTCTGATCCAGAACCGCACAACGTTCTGGAGGATGTAGGCAGAGGAAAAGCTTTAGCCACTCGACTTCTCACGGTCAGCTAAGCAAGGTTGATGCA